CTAAAAGCCGCCACACCGTTCAAGATCAAGACGGACAATCGGGCAGTGAGCTACCATCAAAGCCAACCTAAGCTTTCAAGCAAGCAAGCACGTTGGTTAGATTTCTTGGCCGAGTTTAAATACGAGCTTGAGTATAGCCCGGGGAAGACTAACCACGTGGCCGACGCCCTAAGCCGAAAGGCGTGTCTTGCTCCAATCGTTAGCCTACCTAAGGGGACGCTGGTTGATCGCATCAAGAAGGGTCTTGAGCACGACCGTCAAGCCCAAAGGTTCATGGAGCTCGTGAAGGAAGGCAAGACAATGCGGTTCTGGCTTGAGGATGGGATACTTTATGCCAAAGGGAACCGTTTGTACGTGCCCGCATGGGATGGACTTAGAAGGGAGATTCTAAGGGATTGCCATGATAGCCGTTATGCGGGTCACCGAGGTACGCATTGCACACTTGCCGTAGTCCATGAACGGTTCTATTGGCCTCGCATGCGGGAAGACGTGGAGACGTATGTAAGGACTTGTCTAGTTTGCCAACAAGAGACGACCGAGCAAGACCATCCGCATGGCTTGTTATCACCCTTGCCTATTCCAGAACACCCGTGGGACAGCGTTTCGATGGATTTCATCGTGAGCTTGCCTATTTCTGAGGGTTGCACCAACATATTTGTTGTGGTAGACTGTTTGTCTAAGTATGGGGTCTTCATACCCGCCCCAAAAGAGTGCACCGCAGAGATAACGGCCAAACTCTTTCTTAGGCATGTGGTGAAGTATTGGGGGTTGCCTACATCGATCATAAGCGACAGGGACTCGAGGTTCACCGGCTGTTTTTGGCAAGAACTCTTTCGTTTGCTTGGGACGGAGCTCAAGATGTCTACATCTTTGCACCCGCAAACAGATGGGCAGACGGAGCGCATCAACGGCCTCTTGGAGGTGTACCTCGTGCACTATGTGGCAGCCAACCGAGAAAGACCGGGTACGTTTGCTAGACGTTGCCCAATTTTCCTATAACTTGATGCGGAGTGAGAGCACGGGCAAAAGTCCGTTTGAGATTGTCCTTGGTTTCCAACCGACTACGCCTAAGGACATTCTTGGGGGCTACAAGGGCAATAGCCCACCCGCATACAAGTTTGCCAAAGATTGGCAAGAACGAGCCGACGAGGCAAAACTCTACTTGGAGAAGTCAGCCGCGCGCATGAAGAAATGGGCGGATAAGAAACGGACCTGTCGTGAGTTTGAAGAAGGCGACCAAGTCTTGGTAAAGCTTTATGAGCATGGTCGGAGCCGTGGTTTACACATGGGTCTCATGCGCAGATACGAGGGTCCTTTCACCGTTCTCAAGAAAGTGGGTTCGGTTGCTTACAAGCTGGAGCTACCTGAGGCCTTTTCAAGGCTTCATCCAGTCTTTCATGTGAGTCTACTTAAGCCATACCGCAAGGACCCAGAGGACGAAGAACGGAACGTTTCCTCAAGGGCACCAGCTGGCGTTCGCGAGCATGAGGAACGGACCGCAGAGGAGATCCTTTCTAAGAGGATCGTTCGGGGCAAGAGCGGGGCAGCAACTAAAGAATACCTGGTGAAATGGAAGAATTTGCCAATGAGTGAGACGAGTTGGGAGCCAATCGAGAAACTTTGGCAATTCACCAAATTGATCGAGGACTTTGAGGAGAATCGTGCACCCGTTTCTATCAACATTGCCTTCGAGACTTAAGTGCATCGGGGCGATGCACCATTTTGATGGGGGAGGATGTCACGGACAGTTTTTCTTCACCACGAATTCGGGTGGTTTGACGCGAAATGGGCTATTTTCGTAGACGGACATGGGACGGAACGGTCTAGAGCCTTGTGGAATTTTTCGGTCAAATCTTGAAGACTCTGGAATTTTCTAGAGAGGCCCGGAACTCTCTAGAAATGGGTGGAACCGTGTAGAAGCTACCCGAGTTTGCTAGAACCGTGTAGAAGATTCTAGAGACTTGTAGATATTTTGAACTTAGAATATTTTATTGTAGGAATTCTCTAGAATTTCATTATTTTATTATGTACATAGAATTCTCTAGAATTCTTTAGGACTTGGGGTTTGCCTATAAATACCCCATGCCCCCTTCATTTGTAATCCATCCAAGCTTTGAGTAGAGTTCTCAAGCATTCCTTAAGCTTTCTTGTGCCTTCATCGTTCTTTCACTTTCAACTTTTCTTAAGTTTTTCTTTGCCTACGTTCTTTGAGGTTTTGCCTAGCTTTGCACGAATTGTGGGTCTTAAGGCTGAGCTAGCACGTTCTCTTTGGTTGTTTAAGTGCTAGTGCCGCACGGCCGTTACTTTGAAAAAGTAAGCCCGTGACATAAGGAACGGAACGTTCTAGAGTATGCTGGAAAACTCGGGTCAAGTCCACGCGGAATTGGAATTCTCTGGAAGCAATCGGGCTTTGCTGGAAATGTGTGGGAGCTTCCCGAGAGTTTCTGGAACCTTCCCGAGGTTTGCTAGGTCGGCCGGGAACGGGCTGGAGAATTCTAGAATTCTTTGGAATTCAACACTTAGAATATTTTATGTATAGAATTCCCTAGAAACTTGTATAGAATTCTCTAGAATTCTATGGAATTCTATGGACTTGGAGACTTAGTCTATAAATACTCCAAGCCAATGTTTTCAAAATCGGGATTTCACTCGGGATCGTTTTGGCGTCTCAGGTTCAGATCGGATTCTGGATCGGTGGGATCGAATCGGCAGGATCGAAACCATTTAAAATATTATAATAATTCTGAAATTGCGAGTTTCAATTTATTAGTTTAATTCTTGATTGATTTTATAGAGGAAAAGTATATTAACTCCCGCATAAGTATCACCAACTCAAAATTTTAACTTTTATATCTTTTCTAATCATTTTTCCCTCTGTTTAATACGAAATCAACAATTTGTACAAGTATCGACAAAATCAATGGGATCGCTGGATTGTAGGATTCTACGATTTGGATTGGGATTTTGAAGGATTCTATAAGATCCCACTACAAAAAAGGATTTCATAAGATCCAGGATTGATTTCCTAATTCTGGATCGTAGGATTCTAAGATCCGGATCGGGATTTTGAAAACTATGCCCCAAGCCTTTCTCATTTGCATCCATCTTTTGTTTGAGTGAAACATTCTCAAGCATACTTCAAGCTCTCCGCTCTTTCTTTGTGCCTACATTGTTCTTAAGCTTTTTTTGCCTATGTTCTTTGGGGCTTTGCTTAGCTTTGCACGAATTGTGGGTCTTAAAGCTGAGCTAGCACGTTCTCGTTGGTTGTTTAAGTGCTAGTGCCGCACGGTCATTACTTGGAAGAAGTGAGCCCGTGACACAGCGCCATCCAAAATATTCTGAGAAAACTTCGGTAGTGGTGCAATCCACCACTGCTAAAAACACCAGATTCAGAAATTATAATACTCCAATCTACTTAATCCAATCACTACATCTAAATTTATTATGAGAAACCTACTTCAACGAAAATGGTATCCTCGGATTCATTTTATAGCACAAAACTAGCAATAAACCATCAAATGGTTATTCCGACTTAAAAAACAAGTAATTGGTGGTGATCGAATTTGGTCGATACAATCAAACTTGAGATTTTTGTAAATAGTTTCGTGATGAAGGCAGTAGTTTGACGAGTAGATCCGATCCGAGAGTTGATTTCTCTCTGGTGTCTAAGGTGGCAAAACACATCGCCGGAAAAACTGAATTGATTTAATAGATTAGGAAGTAGCATAATCGAGAAGGCGTGTTAGAGAAAGAAGAATCCTTGCCACCATTGAAGATACGGTTGTAAAGGAATTTCCCCGGCGACATCATCCAGGAGGCTGGGAGAGGAATTCTGGTCGGCGGCTAAGCTGGCCGGAGAATTTGAAGAAGACTAATTTTGTGTTAGTATCGGAGGCGGCTGGTTGCTTTTGTGTTGGAGTAAAAGTAAAATAAGTTTGTAGTAAGGGTAATTCTGTATTTTGATTCAAAATTTACTTTGACTTTTTGATATTGGACTATTTTTTTGGGACAAAATTTTTTATTAAACTGAACTATTTTTGTAGGACGGGAAGTAATGAAGAACAATAATCTCAATTTAAAAGAGGCATTCCAATGATATATACAAGAAATCAAAGTAACTACTGATCAGATGATTAACATTTGCTCGTTGAAGGCTCGGACTGGAAAATATTGTATTGCCCAGAATTGCTGGCGGTGCCATCAGAGAGTACCAAGGTGTGCGGGGGAAAAGCCACATTTTTAACCTCCTTATTAATTAACCATAGATGACCAATTTCAGAATTCCATCTTTATGATTTTACTCCACACTTAACAGGTTTGGATTCTGCTAGCTTTAAGAATTGCTAGTATGGTGTGAATTCGGTCTTTGTGATTTTACTCTACACTTCACAAATTTGGATTCTGCTAGCTTCTGCTAGTACGGTGTGCTTTCGCGGTATAGTCTCAATAATTCTAAGATTCTTCATCAGTAGGAATGTACTAACTCTATTTTACTTCATCAGACGTGAAGTATCATTTGCAATTTTGACAAAGTCTTCAACAACCCTAGGAAAATTATCTATCGAAAACACTTTCAACCAAATTGCTCTAAACTAAATATCTACAATCTACCAGCCTAAAAGTTACAAGTATCAAACTCGTTATGTCTATAAACACTGTTCCTAAGTACCAAACAATTTCTTTGAACAAAATTGAGTACATGTTCCAGAAAGTCCGAACTCGGAAGCAAGGGGCAAAATTATGCACATAAAATTTCACAGGGATCTGAGACTAAGAAGAAATTACAAAGTTCTATCTGCAGGAAGGTCAAATAGAACCTAAATTAGCTCCTAACAGTTTAACTACTAAACGTAAATATGCCACTATGATGGTGGATGCAATGTATCACTGGAGGAATGACATTAGATTAGATAAATGCCGTAGGGTATTCCACGCGATGAAGATTGGATTGCGTGCATACTCTCACTTGAAACTGCAAACACAAATTATATGGGGAAACATCAGCTGGATAAATCAGGCAGCTGATCTTGGGATAGAAAACAACCCTTAATGTCTGGAATTGACAGCCAAATATCATGAAAAGTTTCTGAAAGAGGTAAGTAGTAAACTGTACCATTATGAGCTTCTTTGGCTTTTATACTCCGAGATAAGGTCTTCGAGTTCATCTACAATAGCATAGTAGCAGAAAAAGTACTGCTCCTGAAATAATTAAATGCATGTGATTAGAAGAGAGAGTGCAGGAATGTAGAAAGATGTCCTAAGGAATGCATAAGTTCGTGATTACAGCAGTATAAACATAACATTTATGGAAAGTTTAAGGTTCGCTCGTCAAGGATTAAAAGGAAAATATACGCCACAAATCAAGAGCTGACTTCTTGCAATAAGGTTTAAACCAGGATAACAGCAATCATAGCTCACATATAATCATAAATGTATCACAAATTCTTCACATTCTAATCTATGACACAGATATGAAGAAGCAGTTTTTTCCTACTTGCTTCTAGCTCATAACTAAATGCAGTACAAGATTCAACAGTTACCCGTTAATCTAATTTAACAACTGAATACACTGAACATGAGTTTGTTTCGGCTGCTTTAACTAAAATGGTCTCATGATATCATAGTATTAGTGTTTGATTTTATCATTCAAAACATTATATACATAGGGAGAAATATACAGGCATCAAGGGAGAAAGTAGAGGCACTATACCGATGTCTGGACCATCCCAATTCTCTGAGACCTAAAAAGGCTGATGGTATTGACGAGGTCTAATGCTGACATGTCTCCAAGCAGAATCCTTTGAATAGTATTGTGAATTGTGCAATATGTTCCAGTCCTACCAATTCCAGCGCTGCTCAAAAAACATTGATAATCAGTTCAGAGTAGGTACATAGTCTAGGTGGAGTCCAGAGTGATCCTAACAACATACCTGCAGTGCACCACAATTGGTCCAAGATGTGGTGGAATGTCCTGTATTCTTTTCAGAATCTCACGAACAGCCAGGGTATCCTTAGGAACTCCATGATCAGGCCATTCAGGATACTGGATGTGTAAAACATTCAAAGGTGGTTCTTCTGACTGCAACAAAACCAAACAAAAGCCCCCTTAACCATTCTCTTTTACATTATCATCAAGATGCTACAAAGAACGACCCACCAATGGATAACATAACATCAAAAATGATATCAATAAACTCTTAGTCAAAATTCCGGGTTAGTTTGAAGAGAGCAGTGCAAAATTGATTATTTAGGATTCTCTTTCTAGAAGACACCATGGAGACAGACCTCAAGAAGCAAAACAAAAACAAAAAAAAAACCAAAATTGGCAAATCTTATAATAGACTCCAGGAGATGCAAATGGAACCAGGTGAGTCATATTCCTTAATATTATCTAGTCTCAGAACAAAGGTGAAAAAATTCATCGTCAAACTTCCATGTGGCCTCTACTAGAAATGTAAGAGTTAAAGTGGAAGAAAATACAACAAAAACTCGTTTTATGGGCAGAGTTGAAATACCTAGTCCCCAGCCTGACAGAGAACTAAAAGGTGCATCTCTTTAGTTGAGAACTTCCACTGTTAGTAACCATAATCATCACAATAGTAGCCATAATCATCTCAAATATTGACAATGAGCTAAACTCCAATATGAATTCTGTCAATACTATCTTAAACAGGACAACCATAAAATTTGCTGGCCACATGGAATCACATACAACGTAGTGCCAACATGTATCCAGCCAAAATAATTGTATTTGATGGTTAAATGCAAATTCTTCCAGGACAAAGTAGCGAGTGTTTTATGTCAAGATATTTAGCAAACCCTCTTGTATTTACTGAGTTGAAGAACCCCCAACGAACAGTATCAACAATAAATATACTTTAGGTCCACTTTTACTTTATTCATACATCAAGTCTGGTTGGATTTCACAATATGCTTGTGGCAGCTCCTTGTTAGTGGAAAGAAAACGAAAAAACTTAACAATATCTGGTGCCTAATACAGCTCCTGCACTTTCTGAGAAAGCTTACACCAGCAATAGCTCTTCAACTACATAACTAACATTGGCTCCTATGTTTATATAGTTGCAGTTCCGGAGTCACACTAGAAATATACGGCAAATGCATAGGGGACATATATCACCAAACTAGTTTTGAAAGGGTGTGCCAACCATGAGTATCTTTTAGACAAGTTTTGCCATGTTCAAGCTGTCAAGCATATGATTTGATCTCAGTGCACTTAGGCTCAACAAAATCAAACTATTTTGAGAAAGTCAAGCCTTAAGCATATGATCATGACATGATTGGCATCCCCAATTAAATCTCCTAAAGGCACTCCAGTTTCACTTAAATGATGAGTTTAACAAAATTAGACACCACTTCCCAGCTTTTGCCAGCAGAAAATCATTTAATCCGTTATTACCACTGCACGTAATACAATTGAGCAGCTCCTGTTCATCTCCACTAAAAACTTAAATTTTAACAGCGCATCAGCCACATGTTAAAACTCTCATAATAATATAAAGCAATCTAAAACTCTTTTGCTCGAGTGAGACAAAATCAACATACACTCCACATTAGATCGGACAACTTCATCAACTAAAGCCAAAGAACTGAAGTTTCATTCAAGTATGGAAGACGTCACCTTGAAGAATTGCTACTCGAAAATCAAGAAGATGAAACGAAGTGGAAGACCAACTGTCAAAAGAACATAAAGCTCCTAGAATTGTAATGAGCAAAGAGGATAAGGAATGGATATGTCAATCTTCAAATGTTCAAATGAATATTTGCCAACATAATTATATTTCTTAACTGTAAACAATCTCATTTCCATATTACCGAAATGCAATACCATTCGAGTAGCATCCAATACTTCATATTTGTTATAAGTTAACAGACATTAGCTATAGAAAAGTATATTCATGCTCTAAGATGCAGAGAATCAAAGATCAGCACCACAAGCACTAGATATCATACTCATAACAGGTCAGAAGACAGGACACTACTGCTCATGTGGTTGAGGGCTTCCAGCACGAAACTTAACACTTCCTACATACCATCTGACCTAAGTACAACATGTCGCATGCTCAGAATCCGTACCTCTTTGTACTGTACTTCCAAACATCGCAAAACCAATGACGTAGCAGTGGTTTGTGTCCACTTAGTATTGATACATACGTTGCCAAATTCCCTGGGTCCATCATCTGCTTGGAAATAGTCTCCGCATTTGACCGTCTGTGTTCAATTCCATAGGTAAATAAGAACATCAGCTGAGATAGTACAAGATAGGTAAGTACAAACTAAAAAAAGTAAATCTATGTATATAAACCAAAGTGGAAACTAAAAAATTGCAAATGCAAACATAAAACTATCCACAAAATTGCGTTCAGATGATCAGTGATGAGCTTCAAAGAACCAGCAACTTTTCTATGGATATCAACATAAAGGACATTAGGCATATTGAAGCAACTACACGTAAATTTTGCTGTAAAGGGTGAGATCAGATGATAGACTTAAGTTCCGCTCCTCAACATATGGTTATATAATTTCTACCAAGCTTCAGAACTTTCAAAAATCTTATAAGCTTATTCAGCGGTAAAACCCTATGATAGTCTACAGACCCAATAATATGAAATTTTTACCACAAATTGCACGGCACCAAATAAGATCCTAAAACCTGCATCAACTTTAATTCAGAAAGATGTTTCCAACTTGAAGTACAACCTATTACATTCGAATTACCTAGGTAGTTTCAAGACAATGCTGCTCTAAACAAATGAACAATTGATACTCAGTGCCAACCCCTCCCAATGGAAACAAAAACATCAAATTGGTTTTATTCCTTAGATATGGTACAAAATAAAATTTCTTTCGAGGGCATGAAAAACTTGGCTCTATCAAATGAATTTAAGAAACAGCAAAAGGCACCCATCAATAGGTTGAAGAATTTTACTACACCAGCAACAGACAGTAAATTTATGTTAGGGGCTTCCGGTTTCCATGGAAAAGCAAACTGGAACAATTACTTCCAAAAAAAAAAAAAAATTCTCGTGTTTCATATACAAGTAAAATAAACTCCATCACATCAAACAATTTTGTCATGGCCGCATAACGCGAGGTTTGGTCAAAAGTTCTTGTGTCACCGGTCCGCATAAAGCAAGGTTTGGTCAACAGTTCTTGTCATATTTCCTAAATTGGTTACGCAAGTAATTACATTTAGATAAAACATAATGGTGAGAAATATGATCCATATGGTCAATCTGATGGTGGGATAGAAGTACTTTAAACAGCCTTAGGAAGTAACATGGATTCTAAAACCCCAAGAAAGTAGCATGAGTTTGCCACAGAGAGCAATCCTAATTCATTGTTTCTCTGGCAACTTTACGCCTAGGGAGTTTTACAAACTACGAATTACTACCTCTAATTTACTTCTCAAACTAATTGAACTCTCCCTTCTCATCTCGTTTCTACCTAATTCTGCTACCCGGAGCAGTGAGCTATAATTTTCGAGTTTCTGTCTTTAAATTCAGAATTGGGAGAGAAATTAGGTAGTGTTGACAGCCCATGTACATGCTAGCCTCGTCGTAATTATAAAAATAGAAAAAAAGTGAGAGGTCCGCTTTAAGATTGAATTAGACATTAACCATACATTAATTCTAAAACTGAAATAACAGAACATCAATTATTAATCTTAAAACTAACAATGAAGTAAAAGTCAATATTGTCAAGCATCAGATAAATGCATCTACAAGTGCCAGATAACTATTACATATCCTTCAAGAGAATGAATAAATTTCTAACAATGTTTACTTGTAGCATTCAGTAATCCATTAATATATCTTCTTCTACACTTTGGGATGGTAAATGCTGCTAAATAAGTATAGACAAATTTGCGTGACAGCAATAAGACAAGAAGATGCTTTAGTGGTTCAAGAATTGGGAGTCTAGATTTAAAAAGAAATAAACAATGAGGAAAATCAAAATCATAGGATTAGGAAAGAACTAAAGAGAGAGAAGTCGGAGATAAAATCAATTTGAGAAGATGAAATAAGCGTGATAACAATGGTATAAATACATGCATTCAATAATTTAAAATAGGAAACAGTCAATAACCCGAACTAGAAAGGGAACAGGCGGCTTCAAAAGATTTATTTCAAAAACACCACTTAAAAAGGCATCATTTATGAATAACTAAATGAAAATCCGTGCATTACATTAACAAGACCTATGATCCATACAACAAAAAACGGCGGAAGTAAAAAGAGAATTTTCAGAAGACACCAACTAGAAGGATCAAAGTGTTGGGAGACAACGTACGAAGACGAAAAAATTGTTGAGGGATGCACAAACATATAGTAGAAACGATTAGTAACGATTGCAGTAAAAACAAAATGGAGGTAGCTCCAATAGATTAAAAACTGAAAAGCACTTTGGACATGTCTTTTCCCAGTAAGAGGACTCTCCTTACATTGAATAGGAACATGGACCAGTGGAATGACATTGGATCAAGTTAAGTAACTCCACATAAAGATTCTAAACCATATTCACCTGAAAATGTGAAGAACAATTATACAGAATCCCCTTACATCCTATACATTTGAGTACCTTAAAATTGTCCACCAATCGGGTAAGCATTATGATAACAGGACAGCGGTTTTGGAGAACCATTTCCCAGAAATCTTCAAAGGTGTGCGGTAGTGGTCCTTGCGTCGCAATAAATTGAGATACATTATCAGATGTCTACAAAAGGAAAAAACATCAAAGTCAAAATTGATCATAACGAGGCTGAAAATAAATCACTGCAACTTTGAAACCCACAAATGACTGAAAGCAAAAAAGAACAAATAGCTGGCCTAGAAACTATGAAACACCTTAACGTAGCTTGCATTGATATATCCTCTTGCAGATGGCCTGTAATCCATGCATGGGTCTAAAACAACCCTGTTACTGTCGACTGAGAGTAAGAAAACACAAAAAAGATCACTCTCAAGTATTCTAAACATCAGTCATAAAACAAAGAAAACTTAACAGCTAAAAACAACAAAGATATACAAGGTATGACATCCGTGTATCGATTTTTGTCATAATTGACACTGTCGAGAGCCACCGAGCATCTGCTCCTCAGTTCTGAAGCTCTCAACCTTTGATCCTACCATACAAAGAAAATTCAATGTAATGTCAACATGAACCAATAAGGAACTTCATCGTAAATATATGACAAATTCATGAATTCCACCCAAAAAAAGAAAAAAATTCGATTCACTAAAGCACGATGAAAAAGGTTAAACTGGTATCCATGCATTGAAATTATTGGGAATCAAAGAGTCATGAACCCTAATAACCAAACCCCAAAACTTACTCTAAAGCATTTCTTCGTTTTACACAAATTGAAAAATTAGTTTATCGACCGTTACAAAATCATTTGAAACGCACCTGCAAGGTACGGAACTCCCAGCGTATATCCTGGGGAGAATTGTCCAACTTGTTCTTGAACACTTGAAGAGCTTCGGAACAGTAACGAACTTGATCCGGAGACAGAGTAGGTCTGGACGGCGCAGAATCCGGCGAGAAATCATAAGGTTTCAGAGGAGGAGGAGGAGGAGGAGGAGTTGGACCGGAAGCACCACCAAATGAGGCAGACATGGGTGGTCCGTTAGCTGCAGCCATGGCCGATCTCCGGCTACAACACCGACCCGAAATCACGTTACCCGTGGCTGAGTTGGAAAATTTTGATACTGAATTATGATTTATATTTCACTCCGATGTATATATATATACAGAGAGAAATTGCAGGAATTTTTGTTGGGAAGTTTGCAAGAGAATTGGTACACTTGTAATGTTTCCCATATGATCTCAGCTCTGAATCTAAAAACACTTTCTTTTTCTTTTCCCCTTTTGAAATTATTTTTAAAAAAAACAAAAAAGTACCAGTAAATTGTTATTGAAAAAATCATTTGTTATGGAAGAATTATGGAATTTAGGACAAATATTGAACTTTATTTTTCTGTTGAAGTGGAGTATTGAAATTTATGTGGTCAAATGAAATGATAGTGACATAAAATTCTTGCGAGAGTAAATTTTAATTCGATTTTCGATACTTAATTCGTGCCATTTGTAAATTATAAATTTACTAATTGTACCTACAATTATGTAAATTTTAAGTTTTCTGTATTTTGCATAAATGTGTGAAGTACCACACATATCATGTAGCCTCTGTTTGGGCTTTTTTAAAAAAAAAAAAAATTCAAAATTTTCATCTTTAATTATTAATTTATCGCTTCTTGCATCGATCGCCATCATTTCTACAAATTTCTTATTGAAACACAATGTACATCAGTGCCCCTGTGGGAAATTCAAAATTGAAGTTTTACAATCCATTCAAACAAATTGCAAGTTTACAAAATTTTTCATATTTGTTACTCTCTCCGTCCCATAATTATTGTCCAGTTTGGATTTTTATTTTTAGTTCAAATTGTACCAAAAATGAAATTTTAAATTGGACAATAATTTTAGGACAGAGGGAGTACTAATCATCAAATCACCAAGATTAGACAAATGTGGGAAATTATATCATGCTAAATAAGTATATAGGTTGGAGCCATCAAGCCTTTATGGTCTCCTCCACTGTTTTCCTACTATCTATTGATTACTTTATTCCATACATCATACATATATCTGATCTTGATCTAAGTGTCAAAGTGAAGTTATAAAACCGAACATTGGCAAGATTTGCATTGCAAAGACCTTCCTCATTTTTTGGAACATTACAATGTATGATTTCGAATGATCTTGTATGATATTATTGTAAAAAGTGATTACGAACAATTGAGTATAGCTTTATTGAAAATTATAATCGTAAACAATTCAAAATACTCCCCCCGTCTCATAATTATTGTCCACTTTGTCCAAAAAATTTTGTCCCAAAATTATTGTCCAATTTGACTTTTTATGGATCAAGTTACATATTTGTCCTTAGTAAAAAATATTATCCATAAAATCTTAGTGGTTAAATAATTACTTATGTAGGGGTATATCCGGTTGTTTAAGATAAAATATAGTTAAGTTTGACCAAAAATAAAATCTTTCATTTTAGTAAAACTGGACAATAATTATGAGACGGAGGGAGTATGATTTTAAGAATTACAGTTACAATATATATCGGAAAAAAAAAGTTATATCATTTTATTTATTTATTTCTTTATTTATTTGACTATCTTAGTTCTACCCTAACCCTACCCCTCCCCCTATCCAATTCTAAGTCTCTTCTATTCTGCCCATATTTCCAATGGGATTTGAAACTAAGTTGTTTCTCCGAAAGCTATCAACCTTGAATCATTGTTCGATTCCCTAGTTAGATCGAATTAGCACTGCCTAAACTTGATGAAACCCCTTCATTTTAAAGTTATTGCTGTGATAAAGAATACCACGTCGCCATTATGAAAGATTTGTTGCTTGTTTATAAATTTATTGAATTGTCTCATTACGTGTCAATTAATTTTGAGATAAAAGCGTAAATGTATTTAAAATTTATGGTTAACTCTTAAAAAAATTAGAGATACCATACTCTCGAACCGTATTGGGCCCAAGTTTCTCTCTGATTGGGCCAGCAGAAAGGAAAATAAAATCAAACCAAACTTGACCGAAAATAAACTCCTTTGGGGTTTGGTTATGGTTTTGGCTTGACCATGGGCTATAAAAGCCAAAGTCCTTGTCACGATCCGGGGTTAGAAACAACAATAGGAGAAGACTTAGACTAGAATTCAGAGGATTAAAGGAGAGAAATTGAAGAAGATAGAGTTTAGGGTTTCTAGAATTAAAAGGATCGGGAAAAATTGAGGAAGAAGACGGGGTTCTCATTGTTGGTTAGATTCAAATTGTCTGATTAAGAATTGAATCATTTAAATATAACTCAGAGCCAAAAGTTTATACAAGAAAAATTTTGAGAGACTTTGCACATAATCAAATTCAAAACACAAAATCATAAACCCTATTTGCGTGAGGATCATAAGACGTTTGTTTTGCATTGGAAAAATAAGAAAACTTAATCAAAGAAAGAATTATATGTTGCCTGCCTATGAATCAGTTAAAAATGGCTTAATTTCAAATGCAAATGTAGACATAACGCATTTTCAGATAAATATTACTTTTTGCTCGATTGATTGGTAAAAATATTAACACTGAACAAGGTTATCTAGTAGATACAACTGCACATATTTAAATCTTCCCATCCCAACAAAATAATTTACATTGATTTTTTGAGTTTAGTACTAAAAATATTACAAATTTTAAAATACAATATTCACTTTTTTTTTTTGGGACAGAGGTAAAACTATTTTTTTTTTGTTATCATACTTATGACATTAACATTAAAGCTAAATTTACTTCAAATTTTTGTTTTAGAATTAGAATCAAATAGAGTATCACAACAAATAGGTGCATAATACAGTAGAACCTCTCTAAATTAATCCTCTATAAATTTATAACCTCTATTAAACAATAATTTTTACCGGTCCCAACTCGGGACCAATACAAAAAATAAAAAAACTTGATTAATTTATAAAATAATAAGTTTTCAAGAATCCCCTATGTAAATAAATTAGGACCCCACATTTTCATAAATTAATAATTACCTAAACAAAAACTATAGAATTTCTAGTAAACTATGAATTTATTGATCTTTTTTTTTTCCTTAAAATTTATATCTATGGAGATATCATCTTTGATCTTTCTCATTGCATTCAAAAGTTCCACTGTCAATTTGTCATACTACAACACAAAATTATGAAAAGTTGATGTTGCCTTTAATGTTCTTTTCTAGAGATTCAAAATTTGCAGCCGCACAAAGAGAACCCTAATAAAAAAAAAAGAACCCTAGTACCGTAATAATAAAGTTAAACGTCTATATTTATAATCAACTTTTTTTTTCTTCTTGGCAAAGATTATCTCCTATTAGGATTGGAAAACTCTTTATATTGATAATTATTAATTTATCGATAAATTAATAATTCGATGAATTAATAAATTTTGGAGGGTCCAAGGTTATTAATTTAGAGAGATTTTAATGTAATTATCTTAAATTGACCACCAACATGTTTCTATGTATATATATATATATATATATATATATATATATACAGAAACATGTATATATATATATATATATTGGTAATCTTTCTGTTGTTACTTTTAAGAATGAAAGATAGGAAGCCTATGAATATGAGAACAGATATCTGCTTTTCGCAGTACACTATTAATTACTCACTTATAGTTCGTTTGGATAATTTTACCCGTGACCCATTCTTCTTTTTCCAATTTCCTTCTTGTTCTTTTTTTTTTCAAATTTGAAATCCAAATCTACCAAAATTCGAAGTGTAAAAAAATGTCGGAACAAGACACACAATCACGGGAAGGCTCGTCTTTGATTTTGATAATTTTTTTTTCCTAATAAACTCTTGAAATAAAAACCAAAAAAAAAAAAAAAGGTTTTGCTCAGGGTGACCGGCCGGGCACCTTTTGAAGATTGGTCGATTTACTCACCGACCAATCGGGAAGAAATGGCCACTCGGCCCAGGGTGGACGGCCGAGCACCTTTTGAAGATTGGTCGGTTTACTTACCAACCAACCGGGAAGAAGTGGCCACTCGGTCCAGGGTGGCCGGCCGGGCACCTTTTGAAGATTGGTCGATTTACTCACTGACCAACCGAGAAGAAGTGGCCACTCGGCTCAGGATGGCCAGGCGGGCACCTTTTGAAGATTGGTCAATTTACCCACCGGCCAACAGGGAAGAAGTGGCCACTCGGTGAGTAAACCAGCAAATCTTCAAAAGGTGGCCGGCCCGACGAGTGGCCACTTCTTCCTGATTGCCCGGTGAGTAAACCGGCCAGTCTTCAAAATGTGGCCGACCCGACGGCCAGCCACCCTCGGCTTGAAAAAAAATTTTATTTATATTTTTTTGTGTAATTGTAACTATTTTTTATATTTCTTATAATTTTATTTTTTTTGTTATATTTACTGATTTAATAACATATTTAATTTAATTTAATTTATTAGGTATAATTAATTAATTTAATAATTAGTGTAGATTAAATGGAGAAATTAGGTATAATAAGTTTATTATTATAATAATTTATTTGTTATATTCAAATAAAGAATGCACTACATATTATATTAAAATGATATGATAAATATATTTTGAGTAGGTTTTTGTAATTAGGTATGTGGTATTTAGTTAGTATTAATTTATAGGTTTTAATAATTATTATTTATGTAAATGAATTAGTTATTTTTGTTATTTATATTATAACTTTTTAAATTCGATATATTTTATTTAAAAGATTATGGTGGTGATGGTGTTGATTAAAGTTATCATTTCAATGCGGGTGGTACTTTTCGCAGTACACTAAATTACTTACCGAACCCTAAACCCTAAACTCTAAACCCTAAACCCTAAATCCTGATTCCTAAACCCTTAACCCTAAACCCTGAAACCAAAACCCTAAACCCTGAACCCTATATTGTTATTTTATATTTGTTTAATTTAATTAAATTTAAATGAAAATTTGATAAGTATGTATATGGTATTTAGTTAGTATTATTTTGTACGCTTTAATAATTATTATTTACGTAAATGAATTAGTTACTTTTGGTTATGTATATTATAATTTTTT